TCTTGTGTTGACTGTGCAGCCTGTACAGCTCAGCAGAAGATGCCTGTAATTGTAAAGAGATATCTAAAAAGTTAAGTGGAATCACTTACTAAATTATTAATGCTGATAACTGTACACTAAATAATTCCTGTTTTGGTCTGTTTAACCATTATTATCTCTTAATGTCAGATAATATTATTCATGACATTTAAAAGATTTCAGTGTAAAATAATAATCTTTGTCAGAGACACTAGTAGTCAGGTATCAGTAAGCACCTGAAAGAACAATCTAAAAGAGCGTCTAATCACTTTGCAAATTTTAAAAAGCTTTTGGCGTTATATGCCAGCTATGTAGAAAACATAAGTAATAGAGCAATTAGATTAAAGTATTCTTCCGGTTGTTTTTTCCTGATGTTTTTCTTTTTCCTAGCTGTGCTACTGATTATTCAGACACCAGTGCGCTTCTGAGATGCTTTGTTTGTGAACTGAACTGAGTCAAACACCTTTATGCTGAGCAGTGGTAACTGAGTATTTCCGTAACAGGCACTCAGCTTTGGCAGTAAACACTGAAGTCACTATTCTAGAGTGAAACAAATATGATATGTCTAGATTGAACAATTTTTGAGCTATGAGACTACCAAACTAAAATCATATCTGAAATGTTTTGATTTCAGTTTACTGTAGTCCTCAGAACTTCAAACTAAGATAAAGGCTTCCAATTCTTCAGCAACTGAAAGAGTTGGCTAAGACAGTACTGTGAATTGACCTGTCTTCATCAAGAACATTGTACTAAATCATGTTGTTAATCATTAGTTTTTATGTCTGTTAAACTGAATGAAGGGAGCATTAAATTATTTGGTTTAGCCATCCTGAATAAATAAAAGTAGAACAAGTTGGATGAATTTGTGATAGCATATTTGTTCCTGCAAAGAAATTCTGTTATGATCTACATGTTGCACATTTTTCTGTCATATCACTGGGAAGGCACTTTTCAAGTGTACAAATACTGCAGTTGAAATCTTCTACCATCCATCTTTGATATTGTCTTGGTCCAGAATGATCCTAACCTCTGTCTAATGAGATCCACTGAAAGAAGCACAAGGCAGAGATGCTTCTTCCATCTTGCAGACTTTTTTATGTCTGAAGCTCAAGAATCAAAATAATTCCTGCTCTTTAAAGTCCATTGGAAATAGAAACTGTCTTTTTTCTGACTTTTGTTTTTTGGCATTAGGATCATATTCATTATTGTTATTCATATTCATTCAACTATTAAAATGCTTTTTATCTATTTAGGTACCACTGTAGGCATTTTTGAGGTTGAAAAAAATGTGATGTGTAAAAGTGTTGATTTTTAATACGTTATTTCAGCAAGAAAATAAAAATATGTAACTAGCTCAACTTTTTGAGACCTTTTTGTGTCCTCACAATGAGGCAAAAATTGAACATAATACATTTAAAAGACAGCAACACATAAGATCACCTTTAGCTCTCTTGATACACACTCATGTGAAATACTTACCTTATTATGTATAAAGTTTTACCAATCTGTGAATGTTATTTTTCATAGAGAGGAACCTACTTGGTGAAACACAGGAACTAATTTTCTCAATGTAGATTCAATGCATGCAAATTGACTCTCGTTGCTTTCAACAAAATAATTTCTCTTATTTAGAGACCTTTCTGACATTCTAGTCTCAAGTGAAATTTTATCAAAGACATATAAAAGATGTATAAAAAGCTAAAGGCAGCGCACAGAGTCTCATCTTGTTTTAAGTATGGATTCTCATGAATATAGGAAAAGAATTGTACAAATCATAAAATGCAATTTTCAGTTCTGTACCTGGAACACCAGGTTCCTGCCTTTCCTGACCACAGTTTGTGGGTTTTTTTGGTATTGAAATCCCAGATGTATTGGTGTTGCCACAAATTTCAGTTCTCTCCTCTTCATAGCGTGCCCATGTATGCAGAACTTAACCCAAATTCCTTGGCAGTGCTGCCTCCCAGACCACACCCTCGCTAAAACCCTACTCACAGTTTTAGGGCAGAGTTTTTGGGTGCCACTGCCTAGAAGCACCCCTCAAATTAAATTTTCTAGCACAGACATAGTAAAATGAGGTTAGAGGTGGCTGATGATGGCTTAAATAAGTCCAAACTTCATGCTGATAGCTGGCATGGGGCTTTGGGGGGTTTGTTAGCAGGATTGCTTAACTGGATGTTCTCCACAAGCTGGATTGTCAACAGGCCTTGGTCACTGTTCATAAAGAGTAGAGTGTATTAACTTTGTAGCTGAATATACAAACAGCAAAAGCTTATTTGAGGACACTTAGTTTATTGTAAATTAAGGCAATGAATTCCAAAGCTCTGAGTCACAACCTGCATTATTAGGAGGGTAAAAATGGAATCTTGGTAGTAATGGCATAAAACGAAAATATAGTAGAAAATTATTGGGAAGATTTTTTTAAAAAACTGAAAATAGCTTGAGAAGCTAACTTAATAATAAATTATTTTTTTGCTAACTAAAAGCATAATGAATTGATAAGAGGGGAATTATCAAAATTCAGATTTTAATTGCCAGAAACTTAATTTCATCAACTAAAAGGAGACTCAACAAACCAGAAAAAAGGCTTCTTTTTTCAATTGTTTTTCAGTCTTAAAAGTTTGCAAGTTATTTAAAACTGACTTTCATCACGTAGCAGTTTTTAAAATTATTTTTCTGCACTGATAGTGTAAATGAGAAGTCTTTTTCAACCTTTGTATTTTCTGAATAAAAAAAAAATCAATTAATTTTTAAACATTTTTTTAAAGAGCAATTCATATTGTTGTTTCCCATTGTTGACACTGTAAACATTCCACTAAGGACCTCTAGGGACCTCAATTAAACAAAATTTGGTACATGCTGTGCAAATTGGAGTTTTACTACGTGAGTTAATTATTATTGCTGCATTGCTGGAATGAAGAACTAAAATCAGAACTGCTGTCTTGAGAAGTCTGGAACCATCCTCCCTGAGTCAAATGATCGAGCTATAGCACCAAAGGTTCTGTGAGATCCTTTCAGAGCTTTACAGAGTGAAAACCCTTTCTGGTGGGAGGAGGTTGATGATGCACGTGATCTCCCTGGCTGCTCTTTGACTCTCTCTGGGAGTTTTGCCTTTGCCCCGTGACCCTCGGTGCAGACATGCTGCCTTGTGCTGCCCTCTCTGTGCGTGGTCAGCCTGGGAGCAGTGGTGGGAACAGAGCATTTTAGTGGTGAAATGGCTAAGCCAAGAAGTGCCTAGGGAAAGAAATGTTTCATGAAGTGGGTTTGGAGTGATAGTCTCTCATCTGATAGACCCTGGACTTGAGGGTCCTTCTCAAAGCCTGCTGTTATGAAGGGGTTGCCACACTGACATGTCCAGCTAAGAATTGCTTTGCACTCCTAGTAAGGCAAATGATACAAGTTCTGGACTTATTTAATCTGATTTGTTTCCTTTCTGTTCATTCATTCAAATACAGCCCCTCTTGTGTTCATTTGGTTTAAGGGAGTGTTCAGATTGGCTTCCACTCTGACTCATTGCACTTCTTGACAGTACAGGGTTAGTGGAGGGAACAGCTTTCTGTCAGGAGAGTGTTTTACCAGGGGAGGGGGAGACCTTCATCATTAAAGGCATATCAGAGCTGTGTTACAAGCACTGGGTTACAAGTGTGTTACAAGTGTTACCTGCAGCAATATACAAGGGTAGTAAATGTGTATTCTTTTTTCCTTCTGAAAATTAACTGCAATATAGTATCAGCTTTGTTAGTAACCTCACCCTAATTGTTGCTGTTGAGTTTTGGTGGTGTTTTGGGGTTTTTTTTCCTGAGTAACTGAACATGCAGCATAGCAAATATATTCACTCTTTGGTCTGTGGCCTCCTTTCTATAACACCTGGGAATAAAATCCCTTGGCATTCTGGTAAAGGCTTAGACACTAAGAAAAACTGAAACATCTTGATTAGATTCACTCTTTTATGTTTAAGTTATTCAAAGGGGTCTGGAAGCCTTAGGCTGCAATGGCAGGCAATAAATGGGATAATAATGGCACATGATTCTACTTGTCCCTAATTATATGTAATGAAATGGAACATGGCAGTCAGTCAATCTTTCTGCTACACTTCTGAATTCAGAAATTTACAACTTCTGCAGAGGAAAATGTTTTGTTTAGGTTTTAATTATTAGGATTTTTGCTTCCTCTGTTACATTTTTTACATGAAAAATTACATTCCAGACCAATATTCTAAAAGTGGTTAGCTTGAAAGACTGTATAATTTGGGGAAAAAAAGTAGACCCCAGTTCTTAATGCTACCTTTGGTGTGACCTGCTCCTTGGTCTGAATGGGCTCATCATTCCTCTGGGCTAGAGGTGTCCGTTTTCAGACACAAGCTACACAAGTTTGCTTGCTGATGCAGCTGCAGCCTTAAAATAATAAGATCCCCAGGAAAGTGGTGGATCCCCCAGCACTGATGACTTTAAGATTCAGCTGGAAAGTTTGCTGCATTATCTTGTCAAGATTGTGCTTTTGCCAAGAAAGATCCAACCTCATAGTCTATGATTCTATGACTGCATTATATTGGAGAAAGTGTTATTTTCACTCCAGTTTGGTTACCAGATTTGGAAAAAAAAATGATCTGAAAATACTGTGATCCTGCATAGCGCGTTGGAGATAGGAGTGAACAGTGCAAAGGCCTGTCAGTACCATGTTATTACCACTGCTCCAGATCTTTGTGTGATAAAATGTGTGATAAATTTGTGCTTGAGTTGTTCTATTTCCAATAGGTATCTCAGATTGGGCAAAAAAAGCCAAACCAAAACAAAACAAAAAACAAACAAAAAAACCACCACCACCACCAAAAAAAAAAACAAAACAGTATTATTTGGCAATAAAAAATATTATAAAATTTTGTCTTGTCTTGCTCCAAATTAGGCCTTTTAGCTTATATGACTGTGCTTTCCCCATGTTTCTAAAATGTACTTTAATCATTGTTCCATCTTTTGCTTTGTTCACAGCCTACATGCTGACACAGTACCAGTTTTGTTTCCAAAAGAGGAGTTCACAGAATTACAGTGTCTGATCCAACTAGCTGCTCTGATGATCCTCACTGGACCATGTAGGTAAAATTCAATAAACCCTATTTATATTCACACTGTATCTGTAAAAGTATTCAGCATATTGGAAAACATCTGGGTTTTGGCAACAGTGCTCACATTGTGGAGTCGGGGTCTTTTGGCATTTATGGACTCTAATGTCATTAAGACCCTACAACTTTTTGATGAGTTTTATTGTCAACAGAAGCACAAAAATAGATTGTGCCGTATGTCACAATGTGTTTGGTATTCTTGCTACATCTGTTTTAAGTACTTGCAGGTGCTGCCAACAGGTGATGCCCATCATTCCTGTAGGGTAATTTTAGTAGCAGCTGCAGTGGAGAAAATTTCAGCTTAGGCACAAACCCAGCAGAGAAATTGAATGAGTTCTGGAGCAGCTAGTAAACCTTGAGCTTCTTTTTACTACAGCCACACAGCTACCAGAATAAAAGCTTGCCAGGTAAGAGCTAGGCTGAACAGGTTTACATGCATGAATAATTCAGTTTTGCTATAGAAGAGCTGTGAATCCAGTGATTTATATTCAATTTCTTGAAAAGTGTATTTTTCCTTTTTGTTTTGATATGCTAGTTGCATTTAGTTTCAACAAGTCACCTCCCTCTGAGCTAGCAGACCTAGGCAAAGGACTAAATTATTCTGATTAAATTGCCAGCATTCATTGTCTCTTGATGCTTTGTCCCTTGTATGCTATGCTGTTTTATGTCTCAGTTGCAGTGGCACTTAAGATAATTCACATGAATTGGTAAGCTGCAGGGTTTATGTCTACATTATAATTGGTGTTTCTTTTACATTCCTTACACCGTAAAAGCTCTACCCTGGTTTGCATTTCTAATTTTATGGAATTAGCTGTAAACTTGGGTGTGTAGAGTGGTTTAGATGGCCTGTATTTACACATGCTGGCACAGTCTCTGCACATAACAAACAGCTCTCTTCACATTCTCTTTTGGAACTGTGACATTGAAAGTTTATTGTGATTGTTTCTGGAACATCTTGAGATTTCAGTCACTCAGTTCTGTCTGCAGAAGGTTTTCAAGTCATCTCAGTAAAGCTGAACGTGCTGGCTGAATTTTTTACAGCTTCAGTTTTACAACAGGTGCCTCAAATGAATCCTGTAACAATGTTTATACCTGCTTTTTTTATCCTGAAATGATGATAAGGTATATTGCATGCTGTTACATACACAGCTGCCTTTCATGTTGTGTTGAGCACATTCCAGATTTCATTAGATGTTTTTCAGGTATTTTGCAAAATGCGAAAGGTTGTGGTTTGGGATTCCTTATTTCTTTTCTTTTCCTAGGATGGCAGTATTTCTATTAATAATAATTTCTATTTTTCCTGTTTGGTGGTTAAAATTAAATTGAAGTGATCATAATTCATAAATGTCTTACTATCTCCAGAATGGAAAAAAGAGATTCATATTTTCTGTTTTGAGTATCCAAAGTCTTTCCCAGTTGTAACTGATGGGTAGGGAAGCAATCCCAAAAGACCTTTATTATGCTGGAGAGGGTATCAAGTCTGAGGAGAATGAGAGAATGTCTTCTTTTTAGGTGTCAGTGGCACAGCTGTTCCGTTGCAGAAAATTTTATAATTGATGCCAAATTTCAGGATACCTGAAAGAAACTGGAACCGTGCTCAATTTAGTCTGAAAGGAAAGTAATAAAGTATTTAAACTCATATAGTTAACTTCTGTACATTTTGTTACTGTCCACATCTCTCTTCCTGTGCAGGCATGTAATATTTGTCAATTAGACTCTGGAAACCGTAAGCCAAGAAAGAAGGGTTAAAGCACCAAACCATATAATCCATTTTCAGAAAATGCAGGGATTATCAATTAGACTCTGATGTGACCATGTGGAAACAGTGAGCCAAAAAAGAAGTGTTAAAGCACCAAACCATATAATCCATTTTCAGAAAATGCAGGGATTGATATCTGTTGTTTGGGTTTTTTTCTTGATAATAAATTAATGGCAAAAAAGCCATTAATGCAAACAAATCTAATGGTTTGGTTTAGATTTACGCAGTTCTGTCATGCTACATCTTAAGGGATCATATCTAAAATAAATATTAAAGTAATTACTCATATGTGTGCAGAGCAGTAAACAGAATTTATCAGTTGTGCTGAACATGTTGCATTCATCAAGAGGAACTGTATTATCTTGCTTAGCAAAGGTACGTTAGCTAGACTGGGCTGCCAGAATCTTAAAATCTTGCCTCAAATACAAGGATGATGGTCACTATGATGTGCATTTGTCATGTAATGCAAGTAGTACTTGTGCTTGAGTAGCTTTCAGCAGAGCACAGATCTTTGCAAAGGTTGTGGTACATCTTGGATCTTTAAAACAACTTAGAGCAATTGTGCAATTTGTAACACAATTGGTGTAACTTTCATACAATGAAAGTTACATGGATACAAGTTCATGGATAATGTCTGATCTGTGAACAGCAGGGTCTGGGAAAGTGGAAGCAAACACCAAACTGCATAATTCTCATCCAGGGGGATTTCCAAAGGAGTCTTTCCTCAGGTGACTCAACCTGATCCAGCAGGAAGTCCCGCTGCCTGTTCAAGGCTGATCCAGGTCTTCTCCACACAAAGATGGAAACATGAATTCTCTTTGGCGTGATTTTTATTTTAGATTGAGAAGCTAGACAAAGAGAGAACAAACATACCATTTCCATGAGAGAAGGGAAAAAGAGAGAGACCCATTGTATCACCCTCCCAATACGACAAACCATCCTGACCTGAGCCACAGGACTGGTTGCTCTCGTGTTTATGTTCATTCTTGAAAGGTTTGTACAGTAGTATATGGAGAAAGATTATTTTAAAAAACCCATATTTTAAAATGTTACCAGTAGGTAAGGCTTTATGAAGGGAAGGCCTTGAGCCCTGGCTCCAGCCTGTTACTTAGGCTAAGTAGAAGGGAGCTATGGGAGAGTGACTCAGCTGGAATAGGAGTACAGAGAGATGGACTCAGCTGGAAAAGGAGGAGTGAGAGATGTGCTGTATGGTGGCTGGCTCACTTGGACTTGTTGTACCTTCAAACTGTGTAAACTGATAACCTGCTAACTGCTTCAAAAGGCCGGGGTTTTGGCAATAAAGAGCACTCTTTTGCACCTGCCTGGGGTTTCTGCGTCACTCATTACTGCAACAGTAAAGATTAATTCATATTTGTTCATAAATTTGATTGTAAATATTTTAATGGATTTAAATATCTGCCTGAAACTTTGTGATATTGATAAATCTACCAACTCAATCAGAAATTAACACCAGATCACTGATGTCTGTTTTATAGAGTAGTTACAACAAAACATTTGCTCCTCTATGTTACCCGTTGAAAAATTATTCAAGCTCTTAATCCAATACAAATGAAAAATTGTATTTTAATTTATTTCTCTGTTTGTTTATTTATTTATCGACTTTGGTAGTGGTTTAGAGCAGAAGAGTAGATTTGACAAAAGGAAGGGTCATTTCAAAGCACATGCAGTCTGTGACTGTGTCTGTCATGCAATCATGCTGTAAGCAGTTGCAGTGTTTAATTGTCTATTTCCATTGAAGTGACTTAGAATGATGTTATTTCAGGAGAAACATCACAGCTCAGACTGTGTGTCTGTGCTGGCGTGTTAAGCTAGATGCTCATCCATGAGGGTAAGGTACTCTTATGCTTTATAAAGATGAATAATGGCCAAAATTAATTTTCTAGAAACAATTTCCTCTTTGTGTGTAGTTATTTCACCAATTCGATGCTGTAGCTATTGATGGTGAGGAAAGCACATAGAATGGGGTTCCATTTATTCATTCATAGCTGATTATTTATGTGTAAATAGATAACTTTAATTACTTGGAGGATAAAAGGTGACACTAAGTGATTGTAATTTTCCTCCTTAAAGAAAGTCTGCTTTGTACTAGAATTAAATTTATAAGGATTTTTTATTTCAATGAAAGATGGAAATATTTATGTGTTTAAACTTAAGTATACAAAATATAATTTTTCCCATCTGAAACTCTCTCTAGGGTATAGTATAAACAATTATTCTTTCATTATGTGCATTAAAAACTCAAGTGAAGTGACTATGTCTGAGTTCTAGTCTCTCTGAAAAAACATAACTTTTATCAACAAAGATCTTTCAATAACCTTTTTTGAAAGGAAGACTATTAGTTGGCAGAATTACAAATCTTTATTTCCTCTGGCATTTAAGAAAAATCTCAGGTTTTTTTTAATGCACTTCACCAGACAGGTCACATTTAAATTGTGAGGGCTGACTAGCTTGCAGCTGTAGGTGGTATGTGAAATACAGACTTCAGGAAGAGCATGATTTCCATAACCACTTCAAAGGAAATACATTATAAATAAAGTACATTTCTCTAGGGGCTTACAAAACCATTCTGTTTATAATTTAAATTACATTAAGCTAAATAAAATAGTACAGCAAAACCCCCAAGAGAAAAATACTTCATTTAAGTTTGAACATTACATTACTTCCATTAATTGCAAGTATTTTATTCGCTCTCTAATAGTTTATTTTTCATTGACTATATATAATTAAAAGTATTGTCATTGCAACAGGAGCAATTTTTTCCCATCTTGTGTTCCAAGCCCTTGTGTTCCGTAGATCACTCTGGTTTTATTTGCCTGCCTTCCTTCATTTCTCAGTGCTTTATTACGGGTGACTAACGCTCTGAGCACCAGGCTGTGATAGTAGATTACCATCGTTGTGTCACGCATGTTCAGCTTTATCAAACTCCTACTGGAACTGACTCTCTTGGCTCAGCCTGAAGTTTTGTATCAAAACAATGGAGGGGGTGAAGCTTTGTTCTGTAGGAATATTTTAGTCTGCTGATCCAAACTGTGCTGCTTGTTCTTCCCAGGGTGCTTGCAGGGGTAACTGTTGAGCAGGGACTGCAACACAAGGAACAGAATCCATTAGTCTCCCTACTCCATAAAGATAACTTGCAGGCAAGGGAGTGTGATAGGATATGAAGATAATATGTCTTCTAGGAGAGGAAACTATTG